TGTTTACTCACTTGTTATGACAAACTACAGTGTGTGTACCTGCCCAAAAGTGTCAAACTGGGATTTTCACCCATATTATGTTCCACCTAACAGGTTTTGTGTATGTTTACCTAAACATCACACTGGGTATAATACATCCATACCGCTGTAGGATTTGAGTTTTAAAAAGTTTTCTTTTGATTTTTCTGGTACAAGTAGCCCTAGTCAGTAAAATGGCACATGAAAAACAAGATTTGCAAGTTTTTGGAGGAGGTCAAAAGTGAATCATCAGATTACTCATGCATGGATGATGAAGTTGATCCACTATGGTAAAATATATGGTTTCATAACAGAAGAGTGGTGTGGGTGGATGATGATGATGATGATGACTCTGATGTTGGCCATGTGAGCCAAAGTTCCTGTGACAGTGAAATGGAGCAAGAATCGACTAATACAGACAAAGGGAATGCAGACCTCCTTGATTCAGATCATGAAGAAAATAGCAATGTGAGGGCATATTTGACATTAGTCGAAAGGTTGCAGAATGGTTATGCAACCAAATGGAACAATCCAATGTTAGAACTAGGTCCAAAAATATAGTGAGGACCTTGGCAGGGGTGAAACCTATTGGACAGAATGTCAGCACTGCCATTCAATGTTGGAAATTGTAACAGATGAAATGGTACAAGATGTAAAGTACAGAAAGGCTGAAATACAAGTAAAATGTTCTATATGCACCAATAGCCATACTCAGAGATATATTATAACACCTCACAAGCTGAACTGAAAGCATTCATAGGTCTGCTGTACTTAGCAGGGCTTTCTCATGGTAATTGTAGGACTGTAAAAGACTTATGGAAAAGCATGGGTGTAGGCTTGAGGTTTGCAGGATAACAATGACACTGAAGAGATTTGGTTTCCTTCAAAATTACCTGAAGTTTGGTGACAAAATCATCCTCAAGAAAGAAAAAGAACTGATAATCTGGCTTCTATCTGGTCATAGTTTGACAGATTTGTGAGTAATTGCCAAACAATTTACACACCATCTGAATACATGACTATTGATGAACATCTTGTAGCATTTCTTGGCCTTTGTAGCTTCAGGGAGTACATGCCAAAAAAACCCTTCAAAATATGGCATAAGGGCCAGGGATTTAGCTCAGTGGTTCTGCTGCCTGCCTGCCTCATAAGTGCAAGGTCCTGAGTTTGATCCCTGGTACCAAAAA